AATAAATAAATACATATAATCATATAAAAACAATATAATTGGAAACACCCTGGCCAAAGATATAAAATCAGTAAATAAGCTATAATTACTCTCTTTCATGAACAACCCAGAAAAACACACACCACACAAAATCACACAGGCAGCCCACTGCCCACAGTCTCCCCTCCACTTTCTCTCCACATTTCCCCTTGGTTGCCTTGTCATCTTCAAACCTCCCTTTCCATCCCTTCCTATCCCCTCCTTCAATCAATCCAACATTAAAATTGATTGATTGATTGATTGATTGATTGAAAGTGAGTCACCCACCCTCTTTCTTTCCCAAGCAGGTCTATGGCTTCATATACAGTCCACAGTCATTCTGGAGAATAAGTATGGTAGGAGACCAAAGACCAGCACTTCCCTTCGAAAGACTCCAGGCTATGCAGTTAAATAATAATAATTTATACTCTGTGTCAAATACTTCCCCCAGAAACCTTTGCCTTTTGCAAGACCCTTGTACCAACTTCCATGATAAACTACTTTTCAAATATTTAATTACTGGTCTTATCTGTTCATTTTATAAAATATAAACCTCTCCAAGACTTTTTCATAAAGAAGCATTTGTTGTTGTTAGTTGCGAAGTCGTGTCCGACCCATCATGACCCCATGGACAACATTCCTCCAGGCCTTCCTGTCTTCCACCATCTCCCGGAATCCACTTAAACTCACACCGCCTGCTTCAGTGACTCCATCCAGCCACCTCATTCTCTGCCGTCCCCTTCTTCTTTTGCCATCAATTGTTCCCAGCATTAGGCTCTTCTCCAGGGAGTCCTTCCTTCTCATTAGGTGGCCAAAGTATTTGAGTTTCATCTTCAGGATCTGGCCTTCTAAAGAGCAGTCAGGGTTGATTTCCTTTCTGGAAATTGTCTGGTTTGATCTCTTTGCAGTCCGAGAGACTCTCAGAGGTCTTCTCCAGCAACATAATTCAAAGGCCTCAGTTCTTTGGTGTTCAACCTTCCTTATGGTCCAACTCTCACAGCCATACATTGCAACTGGGAAAACATAGCTTTGACTATACACACTTTTGCCAGCAGTGTAATGTCTCTGCTTTTTAGGATGCTGTCTAGATTTTCCATAGCTTTCCTCCCAAGCAGCAAGCATCTTCTAATTTCTTAGCTGCCGTCACAATCTGTGGTGATCTTGGAGCCCAGGAAAATAAAATCTGTCACTACCTCCATTTCTTCCCCATCTATTTGCCAGGAAGTGATAGGACTAGATGCCATGATCTTAGTTTACTTAATGTTGAGTTTCAAGCCACCTTTGCACTCTGCTTCACCCGCATCAAGAGGCTCTTTAGTTCACTTTCTGCCATTAGAGTGGTATCATCTGCATATCTGAGGTTGTTGATATTTCTCCCAGCAATCTTAATTCCAACTTGTGATTCATCTAGCATAGGTTATTTTAAAACTGATTATCATATGGACCAACATTACATCAGTTTAATATAATAGAGGCATTATGTTGCTATGCTGTGTTTTTGACTGAAACTTTCACTGACCTAGGAGCCTGCTATGGGAAAGATGAAATTTCCCCATCCAAACTCACCAAATTAGAAAGTTGTGGAGTAGGATAATTGGTTACTAAACAGCTGCATATGTTTGTATTATGGTGCAACTAAATGTGCACAAAATATAAACAGGAGCAATGAAGGAACTATAGGAGGTATCCCGTCTGGAAGATTTCAGGAAATGTGGCCTCCAAAAAGCTGACAAAATGTGAAGTAAATAGAGTATTCCAAATCATAGCTAGGAATGCCGGAAAAAATAATTAACTAATTATAAAACCAAAATCCTTCTGTTTCATGGTAAACATAGTCAAGTTGCAATAATATGGCATTTTATAAATATAAAAGCCAAAGCACAAGAACTGCAGGACTTTTTATTTTATTTATTATCTTTCTATCTCACCTTTTTTCCTTTCAGAGAACAAGGCGGCTTGCATAATTGTCCTCCTCTTCTCAATTTTATCCTCACAGCAGCCGCCTTGTAAGCTAGAAAGGGCTGAGAGTATGGCTGGCCAAAAGTCACCTATGGTTTTATCAAGCAATTTTTGTTTGTAGGCAGGAGGAGACTGACAAGGAAAACCGGAGAGTGTCTGCTGGGAGTGTATAATCAAGAGAACTTTTTTCAGTTTATTCAGACATACAGGAAATACATGCAGCATGTAGGCAGCCCCCAACGATGAAGTCCATACAAGATGCTTATATAATTAGTGACATACACAATTGGGGTGTGAGGGAATCACATAGGCAGTTTGCTCACTGCAGTTGAGAATAAATCAGTAGGGTTGAATGGATTCAGACGCACAAAACAAAAGGAAGAACTTTCAGGACAGGCAAACTTTAGCATGTCTAACGTGGGACAGGCATATATTTGTATATCTAAGGTGTGTGTGGGGAACAAGATGGGCATTTCTCCTCCACACTGCTCCCTCAACAATCATTGCCATGTGCATATCTTTTAATGTGTTTTCTTGTATCCCAGCTTTAGCTTTTCCTGTTGATTTTGGTCATTCTTGCTGTTCTGGTCTGCCTATCTTTGAGAGAGGTGATGGGAAGGGAAACTGCTCTGCATGTGTGTCATAAATCATTTTAAAAGAAGCAGGCTGCTTACTATCATCACTGGAGAAGCAATGCCAATACTTTGCAAACAAAAACAGGGACTATTATATTTCCAGAGTGGTTCTCCCACCCCAATTAAAAGGCATGCATGGAGCAAGAATGGTAAAGGTTTTGAAACTATACACTGAAAATCTATATCTAAAGTATCTATGGATCATGTTACATCCTATGTATACAGCAAAACTTGTGCACTATGTATATTTGATGCTATAGTCTCTATTTTATTTAAAACTTTTCTATACCATTCTCTTCCCAAGAGTCTCAGGACAGTCTAGAAACCTCTTTAATACAGCTTTATATTTGTCAATTACTGGAGATGTAACAGAGCTAATATTTCTTCAGCCATAAGTGTTGGGAATAGTTTCCTCTTCAGGGTGACGTGAAGGTTATTTATATGAATCCCTTTTGAATATTACACTCTTTAATATTTACTGATGGACTTGTCCTCATGAGTTGTCTAACCTGTTTCCTGAGCGTATATGCACAATCAGTACAAATGGATTCTCCATGCCCTTTTGACCATGAGAAGATAAATATTAAAACATTGGAAGGATAAATGATTGCCTCCAATAATGCAACTGAGGATCTCACTGTGCTTTCAATATTTGAATGGGTAGTAGAGATGTATTGGCACAGCCTGCAAATGGCTATTTCTGTGGATATTTTGTCTGCCATTGTTGAAGTTCATGTATAATTCTGAGAAAGCTCTATTTTAAAATACATTTTCAGATACATTTTAACAATATTCAAATATTATACTGTTTCAGTTTTGTTCCTTTTTTCTTTACTGGTATGGTTTTGAATGGTTTGTCTTGTTTTGCTGCACTACAGAATATGATTTTAAACCAATCTTCAGTAGGTCAAACCTACTTTACAATCTTGTTATGAGGATACAATGGGTGAGGGAGAAAAGGACCACCTTTGCTAACCCAGGGAGGAAGGCTGGAAGTCTGCCCAAGCCTGAAACAGACATGAATTTATTTTTTCCCTAAAATTGCAGTGTAGAGGTTCCCTTTCTTTGCCTCCATCTTCTTGAAACCAGCTGCATTGAAGAGTGCACTGTATTCTGATATGGTCCGTTCTTTCCCTTCAGTAAGCAGCAGCATCAATATGGAGTACAGGTGAGCTTCTAAAGGCCCAGTTTTATCTTCGTTGAAGATTATTTCTACCACTAACACTCCGCCACCTGTTTCAACAGATATTTCATTGATTTAGCAAATATATAATTGCTTTTTCAACAGTCCCTTGAAGAAAACAGCTTAATTTTTTCAAGTTAAAAGAAATGCAATTTAAGCCGAGTGGTACTGGCAGACAAGAGAATTTGGACTATGGAGCACTGCAGGAAGAGTAAGTAGTGAGGTGATCCAGTTTGCTGATTATACTGAACTTTTTAGGGTGGCTAAAACCAAAAGTGGCTGTATGGAGTTCCAAAGGGAAAGTAGAGAGGGAGACATACCTTCTCCCATAACACTCAAATCCAGGCTCATCCCATGAAGCTGATTGGTGGGTGGTTTAGGACAGATAAAAGGAAGTACTTCTTCACACAGCATATAGTTAAACTGGAATTTGCTACCACAGGAAGTGGTGAAGGCCACCAATATGGATGGCTTTAAAAGAGGGTTGGACAGATGCAAGAGGGAGAACGCTATCAGTGGTGCCTAGTCTTGTGGACTAAGTGCTTCCTCAGGTGACCTGCCTGCATTTACTAGTTGCTGAGGAGCTCAGGTGGGTGGATGTCTTGCACCCATCTTGTCTGAGGGAACCTGTGGGCAGCTGGACTAGATGGACCTTTGGCCTGATCCAGCATGGCTTTTGTTATGCAAAGCATCTGGAGTCTGGGCAGCTGAGCCCAGGAAATATGATGAATTCCCACTCCTACACAGTTTCCTTGTAGCTCCCTCATCTGGGAGACTGGGATCCCTAAATCCATCACAGTCAATGAAGGTGTAAAATAGTTTGCCTGGCAGTGTGTCTTTCCCAGATCCAACTGGAATGCCCTCTGTCACTGTTCCTGGGCAGAGATAGCCTAGCCATTGTGATCTGCAACCTGCAACCTCAATTATTGCAAAGTGCATGGTGGTGCCTTTCAGGATGGTCCAGAGTCTGCAGCTTTTGCAATATGGGTGTGTTATTACCTAACAGAGTTAGCCTATCAGAACTATTACACCTCTTTCGAAGGAGTGCTCTGGTAGCCAACTTGCTACCAAGCCAAGTTCAGAGTGCTACAAAATTTAGAACCTCATTACCTCAAGAGTGCCTTCGTCCTTATCCACTGGAATGGACATTACTTTCTAGTGTAAACGTGAGGGTACTCCATTTGCCAGGGATTCAATATGTGGCAACCTGAGAGGGTGCTCTCAGTTCAGGTCTTCCTTCCCTCTCAGACAAGTTAAGCTCCTTTCAATGCCAGCTGAAAACCTAGTTTATTCAGCCAGGCTTTGTTTGACCTGGTTAACACAATTTATAAATCCAGGTTTTGTTGCATTACCCGGCTTTGTCTGGCAAACAATCAGGCAAACTATGGTTTGTTTTTTCCATTTCCTGAGCTGACACCTGCTCCCTCCCTGTGTCCCAAATTCATTCATTGTGCTGTGGGGCAGACACATAGAGTAGGGATTTTTTGAAGAGGGTAGGGATACCTCTCTTGTGCACTGTGTCTTTCTGTTTCTGAAACAACCCATGGTTCTAGATTTGTATGTAGCAACAACCCATAGAATGAACAAGACTGAATGCAGAACTCAACAAGAAATCATGGGATCCTTTTCTGGACTGTTCATGGTTGACAAAACAAGAGCTGTTAGCGTGGTTACATTCAGCAATCACAACAGCAGCTGATTCAGCTAGCTTAGCATTATGCATGAACCAGGACTCTGATCCGGCCGTGTTGTGTTTTGTGAGTCATTCTTCATGTGAAATATGCTTTGTCAATTCCTATAATTTATATTTGTAGTTTGGGGATTATTTTATAATGACATTTAGGTACTACATTCTATAAGTAAATAAATATACATGAAGAGACTTGAGGCTCCCAGAAGCAAATTAAAATACCATTAAAAGACTATGCATGTAGGGACACCTGGCTTACTCCTGTTCCTTCCCATCATGCATCTTGCAGCTTCTGCTGCATAAGTGGACGTACCAGGTTTGCAGGCCTTGTGCAGTTTGGTTAGCAGCTGTACACACGTCCCATCATCCCAGTCATGCAGGACCCGGGCCAAAACATATAGGTTAGCTTCAGGAACTGGATCTTTGAAAAAATCCCCTGTAATTAAATAGGTTGAGATCTGTTTAATTAAGCATATTGCCTAACCAGATTACTTAAGTTTCACCTGTGGTCAATGTCAAAAATACGTAATTTTACATGCAATCAATGTGATATGGTATTCAGTGCTTTACTCTGGTGCTCCCTGTATTTGGCAATAAAACAAACCATGGTTTGTTTTCCCAGCCTCTGAGTTAACAAATTCCTCCATTTTCCCCACTCCTTCCTTGTATGCCTTTGCAGCACTGTAGAACTGGCACGGAGAGCATCTATAGGTTGTTCTTGTACGAACAAAGCACACGTGGGAACGCAGCTCACGATTCTTTTTCTGGGTTGCTTGTGGTTCATCAACCATAATTTCTTTGCCACCCTGCATCTGCTCATCACAACAGCTGAGAATTCAGTAACTCCTACCATGGGTTAGCATTATGTGCGAATTCAACTGTAAAATCTTGGAACAAATCTATTTTACCTTCCTGGAAAACAATTTGGGATTCTTCTGGACACACAAAATTCTCCTTTGCTCTTCCTATCACTTCAGGTAAGTCAAACATTGTCACAGTAGATTTCGGGTATAATGAAATGCATTCCTTAGCCAAGGTACCACCAGCTCCTTAAAGAAAGACCAAAACAAAAACAATATTTTGGGGAATATTACACTCTTGGTAATGCTAGTAATTCTTATTGAGTCCATGCATGTTTGATTACACTTTGATTCTGCTTTTGTTATAAACTATGCATATGCAATATCATTGATTCCCAAATGGACCATACTGCTTCCTGGGATGGGTGTGGGGAGAGATTCAGGGAGGCAGTGATTGGTCATTTTAATTCTGCAGTGGAACAATAGGCATAATAGGAAAAGACATGGGGGCAGTAGGATTGTTGCTTAAGGGTAATGGAGGCATCAACCCAAAAAGTTTGGGCACCACTGTGTTATATAATACACTGTAGTTCAAGTGTCACATTGGGATCACAATTCATGGTTATATATTTATTATCTATTTATAGCGGCATATTTTTATTTTTATTATTTTCCTTAAAAAGTAGGATGCAGAAAAAGAAAAAGGTTTCAGGGCATCTTATACAGATATTACACATTTCAAGATATCACAAGAAAATGTCACCAAAATCAGTAATTGTTATCTCTTTACACACAATTAAATTAATTAGTACTTAAAACTCGTAGATTAATCATTCTAATTTATAATTCTAATGGGAGGGTAAACAGCAGGGAGCAGATACGATAAAGACTCTTAGAGGCTGCACAGAGAAGATTTAAAGAGCAATAACAATTGTATACATAGCAGCACTTCACTGCTTTCTCTTTTTTCATATGAAATGATTCATTTTGGAGTATGCAGTCATTGTAACATAACAGCCTGATGCCTTCAAATTAGGTGGGCTACAATTCCCCTCATCACCAACCATCTGCCAAGGAATCCATGTGGGCTTGGGAATCCATCAGATGCCATGGGTTCGCTTTCTGGGATTTTGGTCCACTTTGCAGAGAGCCAGTGTTTCTAGCAAGCGGGGCAATGTTCACAGGGCTCTCAGTAGGAAGTCAACCCCATGAGCTGTGCAAGCAGTGCCCACAAGTGAGCAGTCCAGGAAAACAGCCCCCTCCAACTCTCCCACAAACAGCATATCTCCTCCATGCCAGCTACAACTGCTTTTTGGGCTGGTGCTGATGATGCAAAAGGTTGCAGGTTGGGCAACTGAGTCTTCTTAGTGAGTGTTCACAGACTTACTCTCAGCTTGGCTCTCTTTGGGACATTGGCCCAAGCACAAGGGAAGCCCATGAATGCTTGGAGGGCTGGATTCTGACAGGGTTTATCCCATCCCTTAACAAGCTTTGGCATTTTGTAATGGGTAACTGTATTTACAAAAGTGCAACAGACATCTCAAATCTACTGATCCAAGATCTGCATTTTTGTGGAAGCAGTCGGCATATGGAAAAGGCTTCGTCCTCTGACCATCTCCATCTGTTCTTTTCTTCTAGAAGAACTCCTTCCAACTCACTTGAAGCCATCTCGAATAGCAATCTAAAAATATCACTAGCACACAGGACTTTCCAGGTCAGATCAGATCAAACTGGTTTTGAATTCTTCCACAGTCCTCCTTCCTCAATCACGGAATCATGGGGAATGAAGGGAGCTGAGAGCCATCCAGGCACCCCCAAGGCCCTCTGGCAGGAAACTCTCAAGTTTCATGTAAGAGAAGACAGCTGAGAATGTGGATACTCACCTCCAACATCACAAATGTGTGGGAAATCAGAAAGATTGAATGCAGACAGCACTTCTCTGCCATACAAACTCCAAGTGTCATCCATGGCATTCATGAATTTTTCGAACATTTCCTTTGAGCTAGAATTCAAAATTGTCAGTAGGGTGCAAAAATCAATGACTAATACAAAAATGAATTTTTAAAAAAGTACATTGGACTTATTTAAATTGCTGAAAAACAAGCTTTCTAAATAAAATACCAAATTCCTCTATAATCATGGCAAGTCTACATATAGATAGTTCTACCCAACCTAACTGCTTTTGCTTCCTGGAAGATATCAGGTTATGATTTCTCTAACCAAACTCACATGTGCAAAGAAGGCACAGGCCAGTTCCCATTGTAATCTTGATTCAGCCTGATTGGCAGGGTTGGAAGCAAGAAGACGGCATTTGCAAGCAAACATATTCTAATTTACAAATGGCCAAGCAAAGAATAGGCCACAATGGAACATACCCCTGTTGCTCTGCTCACATCAAAAAATAAAAAAAATCAAGGAAATACTATTACCTGTAAAGTGCATCAAATATATTTTTTGATGAAGGGCCATGTATTGATTGAATCTGACTTTTACCTTCCCTAGAATAGAACATTTAAAAAAATAGATCAAAGATGCAGCACGAATGCAAGATTCAATGCCAATTCTTTCCTCTTCTAGTGCACATGCTATACTAGAAGCAACTAGATGCATTGTTTTCAAAACCAAGCCAAAACTACAATGACAAAATAGAAGAACCTTAAACCTTGCAAATAGCACTAGGCAGTTTATGTGCCCATAAATCAGGGAGAAAATATGGAAAATTTCCTCATGCAGCAATGGAAACAGCAGCCAAAGGGATTCATTCACAAGGCACAATGAAAAAAATTGGGCCCACTTGCACGGAACCCCGACTCATGGCTTCATCAAAGTGGACCAGAGTCTGCAGAATCACGTCCATGGACTCCAATAGATTCTCACACCCAAAATGGATTCCTCCCATATCTCTAAAGTTATCTTGTGATGAGCCTAATTCACCCAAGTTGATGCAACTGCTTTTCCACATGTAATGCCAAAGCACTTGAAAACAGACTCAGAGGGAATCAGCTAACACTATTTGAATTTCCAGTGTGACACTGCTGCCCCAAATGATTTAACATCAGTTTTGGAACAGGAGCATAGATTAAAATTGTTTTTGTTATGGATGGAACAGTGATATCACACATGTATATAAGAGAAAGAGAAAAGTGTTTCAGCACTAATCAAGCTATCAGCTGGCACTGGGTGATCAAAGGCCATTGTCTAAAAAGCTACTGCTGAAGGAGAGTCCCTTGCTGTAGGGTCCCTGCCCAGCCCAGCACCACCCTCCTCAAAACCATGCTGCTGAGTAAGCCAAGAAGGTCCACCAGTAGAGATTCTGCTATTTTCTTTTCCCCCCAAATCTGCTTTTCTGCTATCTGAACACAGAACTAGTGAGAAAGCGCAGGACAACAATAAGTAAACAATCCTAGTGAAGCCTTCCAGACCTGGCTCTCTGCATGGAGCTGTTTTCTTCTGCTCACCTCACAGCATCAGCTAAGTATTGCATGCTCGGATATATGTATTCAGAGTGCAACTTCATAAAGTTATACTGAGACTTTGGGCTTGATTTAGCAAGACACAAATTAGCAACCTCTTCATTTCCATAAAAACCTTAAAAGGAAACAAAAGATGTTACTGTAAAACCTCTTGAAAATAGTAGGGAAACAAAATGTTGACAAGCTATTATGAAATGTTTCCTTCTGCTAACAATCAGGAATTCTTGGCGAAGCAGCAAAGTAAGTTTTATATTATACTGAAGCATTACATGAAGTGCTTAATTGATCATGTGAGACCACTTGTGTAAAGTCCAAACCTGGAGGGCCCCACATTCCATAGTCCTGCTAGTAAATGTCTGTAGTGTTCCCGTCTGACTTCGATGGGGTGAACAGTTTCAAGGCACCAGCGTTCATAATTAGTTAACTTTTGGGATACCAGTACACAAACCAGCAGAAAGGAAAGGAGAAACAAACATTGCAGTTGTGCTGCTGTAAAATAAGCGGTAGACATGGCCAGTCTCTTTCATCCAAGCCCACTACTGAGCCAGAATGTAAAGCACCTTGCTCCCAACGGGGCTACCTGTGTTCTCCTTCCTCTCCACTCTCAGGAGCTTCAGCCCCACACAGGCATCCAGCAGCCTCTCCGTTCCAGCCTGGCTGGTGCCTAAACGTTCGGCAATAGCTGCTGCGGTCAGGGGGCTTTGCGACGTCATCAGCAGATCAAATACTCCCAACTCACAGGCAGTAAATATTACCTGGAAACCAAGGAAGAAAAAGGCAACAAGTTCACATACTTGATCCTTAAAATGAATTCTTTCTTTTATCTTTCCATCAGCAAATACTCTTTGGGCAACTTAGTGGGGAGGGGGGGAAGTGAAGACACAAAATAGTAGAACTACAACTAGGTCTTTATTTTCTTTTTAGTGCCAGGTGAAGACATATCTTTAAAAAAAATTAATACTTAACCCTGTGGATGCTGGTGGCCTTTTTATATTATTGTTATACTGATTTTATTTAATTGTTTTAATAGGTTTTAATATGTTGTTATTTATAGATAATTTAATATGTTGTTGTAAGCTGCCTAGGGAAGCCTTTTGGCAGTTAGACAACATAGAAATATGAGCATAATAAATAAATAAACAAATATGTATAGACAGAACAATTCCAGAAGAGTCCACTGCTGTGGCATGTCTGGTTTGGGGGGTATTCTCAGTGGCTCGTGCTCCAAGCCTGGTAATTCTATCAGGCTCTTACTGAAATGTCTTACCAGATCTGCATATGAAACTGCTCAATTGCTTCCTGCAGGTCATTTTTCAGAGCTATACTGGGACAAAACGAAGGTCACTCGGCACTCGAAGACAGAAGGAAAGGGACTCAATAAAGGTGGGACAATGCAGGACATTGTTACAGCAAATGCAAGAATACAACTCTTTTCCCTGGAACTGGGACTTCTTGTCTTTTTCCTCTCAGGTTTCTATTGCCTGCTGACCATCAGCTTCTACCTGTGCTGAGTTGAGACCATCTAGGGAGCTGGTCACCCTCCCTGTGGCAACCAATCTTCCCCCAAGCGAAAGAGAAAGACTGGGAATAGGCAAACAACAGGGCAGGGGAAGAAAGGAGAAAGAGGAAGAAAGAGAGTTATGTTGTGAGGCCTTGAGAAAGAGACTGAGGGAGGGAGGAAGAAATCATTTCCCATGCCTGGAAGGTCATCGGTATATGTGGTCGGAGCTTGTATGGATTGGATGCTCTGCTCCAGGACATCTGCGGGAAGGGTACCTTAGAGAAGCAGGAAGACTGATCTAGAAGAAACACCTGTTTCATGAAACCATTTATAACATGGAAATTAACTCCTGTACTCATGGACTGCTGTGCTTCCCACTTCATTTGGGAAGCAAACAAGCAATCTTACCAAAATTCTAACAAGGGAAATAATCTTTCTATATCTACTGGAGAAAAACAGATCTAGAAAAGACAGAAATTCTTGATTCCACACATTCATCAATAAACAATCCTGAAAGCCCTTGGAAGTTTTAATATTGCAAATGCTACCCCTGGCATCACCTTTGACATGATAAATCCATGCTGCTGCTGGAGGAAGGTTTTGATGTCAGAGTCCATTCTTCTTCCCTGCTGTACCAGGCAAACCAGAGTCTTCGTCGGCTGAAGCAGTAGCCCTGCTCGAGGTGGAAAGGACTGCACAAGGCTGCGCTGGAATCTCACTTGAGAAGAAGCTGCAGTGCTCTCCAGAGAACTTCCTCCTAAAATGAAAGACTACCTGAAAAAGGGCAAAGAGAGGTTCTGGCTTGTGTTCCGCTGGAAAATGGCCTATAGTGATGCAATAGTATAGAAAGAGCAAAAAGAAAAATAGTTGGGAGCCATCTTATTGGAAAGCGGAAAAAGACCAATATGGAGCTATGAGAGAAAATGCAGAACTGGCTGCTTCCCCAAGAAAGGAAATAAGATGGCAGAGTTACTAAGAATTGGAAAAAGCATGAATTTCTCTGCAGGAGGAGAGTTTTTCAGGGAAAGAAAGGTCTGGGGAAAATGCAAGGCAAGAGTACTTGCGTGTGGGAGCTGGCCAGGGATGCACCAAAAATAGGAGAAGCTTTTGCTCTGCTCCTCTTTCACTTATCCTTTTATAGCTGTCTTGTGCTTGTGCTGACTAGAGAGAAAAATACCTCTCTAGTCAGGTTGGAATTTGTCCAGAACAGGACATACAGGCTAGGAAAGCATGAAGAAAACAGTGCAACCACATCTGCAAATGTTGTGAAATTGGATGATGTTGAATAACTCCAACAGAGTTAGTTATAGCACAGAAACAAAGTGAGTAAGAAGGGTTCTTCCAGGCCACCTAGTCTGACCCCTGGCTCCAGTCGGTTCCACTCATGTAATCCCCAACATGTGGTTGCCCAGTCTTTCCTTAAACACCCTCACTAATGGAGCCTCAAGCTCCCTTGGAAGCCCATTCCATACCCTAGGGGTCCGAACCATCAGGAAGTACTTCCTGACATCCAACCTGAAGCCTGGTTCCTTGAGCTTTGCCCAGTTGGAACATATCCTGCCCTCCACTGCAAAGAAGAACAGGTCATGGCCCTCCCTCCACGTAACATCCACTCACATACCTATAAGTCGCTAAAATTTCCCTTTGGAGTTGTCTCTTCTTCAGGCTGAAAAGACCCATTTCTCTCAATCTCTCTTCATATGCCATCCCTCCCAAGTTGGCTACCATTCTTGTGATCCTGTGCTGAACCAATTCTAACCTAGCTATGTCTGTCCTATAATGTGGAGCCCAGAACTGGACTCAGTACTAGAGGTGTGGTCACACTAGAGTCATGTAGAGTGGTATCGACACGTCCCTGGATCTGAAAGTCACACTTCTTGCTATACATCCAAGGGTGAAGGCTAGCCTTCTTAACCACATCACACTGCTGACTCATGTTCAGCCTGCTGTTGTGAAAAGGATCTTGGGGTACTTCCCAAGATCCTTTTCTCCAACCACTTCTCTCCCATCCTGTACTTGTGACGCTATTCCTGTGTCCCAAGTACACTTGAATGCCATCCTGTTGTCCACCTCCTACTTCCACAGCCTGTCTTCCAACCCTTCTGGATCTGGATCTCCTGCTCCTCAGTTGTGGCCACCAAGCCCACTTTGGTATCATCTGTGGATACTCCTGCACAACATTGATAAAATGGTTGAACAGTCCAGGAACTTAGCCCTGGGAAACTCTGCTCATCACCGGCTGCCATCCTGATGATTCCCCATTGATAGTCACCCTCTGCTTGCAGTCCAGCAACCATGCCCTAAATCCCTCAGTGTATTGATCTATCCCAAAGCTCAACAATTTCTCAACCAGGATATCATGTGGCAATTTGTCAAAGGCTGAAGCAGTAGCCCTGCTCGAGGTGGAAAGGACCGCACAAGGCCTTCCTAGAATTTCACTTGAGAAGAAGCTGCAGCGCTCTCCAGAGAACTTCCTCCTAAAATGAAAGTCTACCTGAAAGGGGGGAAAGAGAGAAGTTCCCGCTTCAAGGCCTCATGGTCAATAGTGATGCTATAGTGCGAAAGGAGGAAAAACAAAGGTAGGGAATAAAAAGGTCTAGGAAAAATGGAAGGGAAGATTACCTACCTGTGGGCATGGAAAGAGCCAAAAACACCAGAAGCTTTTGTCTGTAAGTCTTTGACTTGTCCTTATATAGCCTGCTGGTGTTTGAGGAAAGACAAAGGGAAAAATCCCTGCCTTTGTATAGGATTGGAACTTGTCCAGAACAAGAGAGCTCTGCCAGTGAAGCTTCAAGAAGATATTGGAATCATGCCTCCAAATGGTATGATGTTGGATAATGTTCAATAGTTCTGGCAGATGGGAATAGCTATGACTTGTAGCTAAAACCAAAAGATAATATGAAAAAAACATATTTCTTGGGGAAAAGGCTGAGAGAAGAAATAAGGGACAAATAGACAATCCTGCAAAGGCTTTCAACTAGAGAAGTGTGGTAGGCACACTCACTGATTCCTTCTGCTGTCCCTAGAAAGGGAGATCTGAGTTCTGCACCAGAACTGGACACAAGAACTTCCTCCAACATCAGGCAGCTTCCACCGTTCAGGATGTAAAAGCAGAATGCTTCAAGGGTTCAGCTGACTAAACCTGCGAAAGAAGATGCTTTTGGGGTACTTTTCTGGAACACAACAATCCACCAACCTGCAGACATTCTCACCTCACAGCATCTGCCAAAATAATATAAATTTGAATGGGAAATATTGCCAATATCTTTTTAACCATATGTTCTGGTGAACATTTATTTGGGGTGAAGTAAAGGTTATTCATATAGATACATCTTGGATGAGTACACTATTTAATCTTTACTAACTGACATATCCTCTTAAATTATCTACCTGCGTCCTGGATTCTCTATACCCTTTTGCCAATGAAAAGGTAAATATTGCAACATATTGCAACCTCCAATCATGCAACTGAGGATCCCACCTTGCTGTCAACTTTTGAATGGGTGGCATAATTCTTTGACACCACCTGCAAATGGATCTTCATATGGATATTTGGTTTGCCCTTGCTGAACTTTAGGTATAATTCTGAGAAAGCTTTGTTTTCAAACATGTGTACATACACACACACACACACACACACACAAAACATCCTATCCATGTATCAAAAATGATCTGTTCAAACGTATGTACAGTAGCTGCATTATTTTTTCTTCCCCTATTTATTCTTTGTTTTTCCCTGGTGCAATTTTTCAAAAAATAAAAATAAAAAACACTTCAAAGGAGTATCTAGGAATACTGCCACAGACATTTGAATTTGTGAAAATGTCCTAGCCTCAAAATCCTGTTTTGGAATTAAACGGTATCTAGAAGAATGGGCTGAAAAGAGAGTGTAGTGTTAAGGGTGCCAAGACCAGGAGTTCAAATCCCCATTCATGCACCACAGGACTAATTACATATCTATTATATATCTCCATGTGTTAGTATAGAACATGCTATGGCTATTAAACATTATGCAAAATAGTTTTTACATTTTCTTCAAATGCTGTAGTGATTCAGTTATGTTCCTTTTTTCTTCTTTAATGGGGTGGCTTGGAGTGTTTGTCCTGTTTTATTGCACAAAATAATATGATTTCAAACTATTTCCACTAGGTCTCATCTAGTTCAACAAGCTTATTCTGAGTATAAAAGGGGCAAGGAAGAAAAGAACCACTTTTGCTGTCCCTGTTACATTTTACCAGACCCAGCAAGGCTGCAAATTCATTATAATAATAGGAAAATAAAATGTGGGAAAGGCCTTGGGAGGCAGAGGTCCCTTTTTTATTTAAAGTGTCTGGCACAGACTGCTCAAGTGTCCAAGCATATATTCTCTCTCTGCATCTATCATCTCAGCTCTGTTTCACCGCAATTTTATGCAGATGACATTGTCCTTAAACGCCCCCCCCACCAAAACTTTCAAAAGTGCTCACTTGTGCCCTTTCGGTGACCAAAATGAAAAGCCTTGCCTTGTCACTCTACCCAGTGCCTCCTGCACTGTGACAAGTAACACTTCTTAGGTTTCCAGTAATATAATAAAAATCTATTGGGAAGACAATCAGGTGTCGATCTAAAGACTCGAAAACACCAAGTATGTGTAGAAGCAGCATGTCCCATCTCACTGCTTCCTTCACCTGCCCTAGATATGTGACGGAGGCTGGCAAAGGAGGGCCTCCATGGAAGATCTTGGGTGGATATATGGAGATATATATCCCTTCATATATCCCAGCCCAAAGCTGTTTAGAGCTTTATATGTTAGCGTAAGCACTTTGAACTGGTCCTGGGCAACAACAGACACCCAATGCAGCTGGAGCAGGACTGGTGTGATGTGCTCTCTAGGACCAGTCCTCATTAGCAGCCACTAATTCTGTTGTGAATTAGCTGGAGTGCCTGGGCCATTTTCAAAGGCAGCCCCACAAATTACAGCAACCCTGGCAAGAGGTTACCAACATGTGGATAAATGGCAAGATGCCACACATCCAAGTAGAAACATAGCTGAAAGATCAGCCTAATCTGGTAGAAGGTGCTCTGGGCCACCAAGGACATCTGAGAGACAAGCAACAACTTGGGGTCAAGTAGCACCCCCAAGCTATGAACCTTGTCCTCTAGGGGAAGCACAACCATATCCAGGACAGCTGAAAGTTCCTCAGATGGATGGACTGCCCAGCAAAAGCACCTCCATCTTGTTTGGACTGAGTTTCAGCTTATTGGCCAAAATCCAGTCCATTACCAAGCCAGAGCACTGGTTTAGAATAGTTATTACCTCACCTGTATTAGATGAGAGGTAGAGCCAAGTGTCAGCAGCATATTGGTGACATTTCAGCTGAAACTTCCACTCTTAGCAGTTTCATGTAGATATTACAGAGCTGTGATAACATGGTATTCAGGCTGTATGCTGACGTTCCCAGTATGTGGCTTTCTTGCTTGTTAAAGCAAACATGATAGATAAGCCTGTCATAGGTTCACACAGAACACTCATCCATGGCTGATGTAACCTGTTGTTTCCTACCGAGGACTTGTCTGGCTGTGAAACAAGCAAACCACAGTTGGTTTTCTCATTCTCTGGCTCATTAACTTCCTACATTTTTCCCCCATCTTTTCCCACTTTGCCCAAATCTTTCTTGTATTCCCTTGTGGTACTGTGTTAATGGCATGCAGAACATCTGTGAGTTCTTCTTGCACAAATAAAGCACACGTGGAAACCTGGCATGCGGCTTTCTCTGGACTGCTTCTGCTTCATAAACCATAGTTTCTTTTCTACTCTTCATTTGTTCATCACAACAGCTGAGAATTCAGTGAACTCCACAGTGGGTTACCATTATGTATGAAATCAACAGAATCTTAGAACAAATATTTTTTTTACCTTCCTGCAAAAACAATTTGGGATTCTTTTGAGGATGCAACATTCTCCTTTGCTCTTGCTATCATTTTAGGTAGGTCGAAAATTGTCACAGTAGATTTTGGGTATATGAAATGCATTCCTTAGCCAAGGTACCACCAGCTCCTTAAAGAAAGAAAAAGTATT